ACAGCAGTGTGACTGTGGCATTTCTCACCGTGATTTGGAAGCTGGGCATGGGAACCAGAGCCGAAGCCAGAGACAAGCAGGGCCTTTTATGCTGTATGTGAGAACCTGACACACGCTTGTCACAGAGGCAGACTCTGCAGGTATGGATATGCAAGTTGGTGAGCCATTTGTGACCCAAACCCAGGAACGTCATAATTCGTTATCATCAATCATTATTTTCTGAGCAGCTATTCTATGCAACCATTGCTGAAATTTGGGAAAACAGAGTCTTAAGAGAAACAAATAATAAAGGGGGAGAAGTATATCTGAATCATCTTGAGACCGCTGAACAATATATGTCACAAGAGTCAAAATACTCAATGGGTTCCTGAATGTCACAGTCATACACTGCACCACTAAAACCATGACTATCTTCTCCACTCTCCTTATCACAAACATTCCTAAGCCTTCAGAGGAGTCACGCAAGTGTAGCAAGTGTATTTCCCAAGTCAGGGAGACCTACCTGCTGTCAATTTGCATTCCTTTGCCCAAGCTTTTGCTTCAATCAGCTTATCACTCCCAGCTTTCTGAGTAAATCCCTAAATTCTTAATTACAGAGAGAAGCCATGATCCCTGAAGGCTCTTTTTTGGAACCAGGAAATTGAATGAGTAACTTAATTCAGATTAATCCTTTCCTAATTGTTATATGTGCCCCATCTACAACCCACTCTCAGAATACACACAAACACATGCTCACACACATATGTGTGTGTGTGTATACATAGCCATAGGTACATATACCTATAGATATTTATCTATATATCTATATTAGAGTATCTGACTGTCATGATGGAAAGGTTATAACATGCTTCCTGGGACAGACAGTCAAGGTTCCTGGGTCCTAATTCCAGGCTCTCTTGACTTGCCATTTGGAAAAGATATCCAAGCTCACAGCAGAGCTCAGTTTCTTACTCAATAAAAATAGTACTGCCCAAGAAGAGCTGCCAGTACATAAAGTCTCCCAAGTCCCTTGAAATTAGGACAGTATGGACCAAACAACATTAGCATTGACTGTAGATCACTATTCTAGCTGTCAGCTGGCTAGATTCCTGAAAGGAGGATATGGAAATACATTACTCACGACTCAATGATTTGGATACTACCTCCACCAGCGCCCCCCCCCCCCACTTGCTTAAATGTCATAATTGACTAAAGTTTGGAAATTAAGGTGGAGAGAGAACATCCTTAATCAGAGACTCACTGGTCTAAACATATTGAATCCCACACCACTTGGCTACCAAGAGAATCCCAGGTGAATCCCACTGCAATTTACACTAATACACATGGGCTACTGAAACCATAAAACAATTACCTCCTCAGATTAAAATAACTTTATGTCATCAGGGGGCTGTATAAGGGGTCTCAATAGGCATATCCACTACATCACATGGAGACAAGTGCAGAATCCTTTTGTATTAATATATGCACATTGTCTCACACATCACTGGGCTGCACACTGAGCTGCAAAATGACTGGCAGGGCCAGGCACATAGTAGGTACACAAATTTTTGTAGAGGGAATGAGGAATCAAATCAAGTAATCAAAACATCTCTAAATAAAGCAAGAAGTTAACTTGCCATCCATTGCTCAACCAGCTTGGACATGAGAGCAAGCCCTTCTAGCAAAATACCCAGGGGTGATATGGACAGATAACGCAATCCAGGCAGCAAACATTCACTTTGGGCAAAACTAAGTCAGAAGATGACACTTAATACCAATATCAGAAGAAAAAGAGCAGCACAGCCCCTTCTCCCCCTCCAACTCATCCTTCCAATAAGCATTTCCCTGTGCCCAGATGTCAAACTCTTTGCTAGGTGCCAGAGAGCCAAAGAGGAATAAACTCAGAGCCCCTCATCACAATTTAGATGGGGAAACAGAAATGGAAACAAAAACCAAGCTGCCCTGCAGCGTGATAAGAGCTCTACAGACGAGAGCACAAAGCATCGAGGCTACCTGTTCAAGGCTACCTGTTCAGAGAGTTTTATGGCCAGAGGGTCATTTTCAAGTACCTGGCTGTCCTGTCCTCTCAGGTTGCTCTAGTCAAAAGCTTGGCTGAGACACTGGATATTTGAGAAAGTCAGCCTAAAGAACATGTTAGCCATTCATTCCTCTAGGTTTTCGGAGCTCTATTTCTGCACTGGGGACAATTGCCAGAATCTCCACTGCTGGACCACAGTAGCGCAGGCTCCCAAAGATAAACTCCCACTGGGTTACTTTTCATCATGATACCTTCTGCATTTTTTATTCCCTTGAGGGTTGGTAAAGACATGCTCATATAGAGAAATTTACCTCATTTTCTGCAGAATTTAAGTTCAACTATTGGCCATTATATGATTTGATATTTCATAGGAGTATCTACTAGCTGCCAGACACCATAGTCAGCACTCTACAAATGTCATCTGATCTATCTTTACAACTTTAATGCATACCTGCCACCTCCCTTTTTTCTGTTAACTTGGCTACTAAGAAGCTCAAAGCTAGATTAAATATTCAAGCAAGAAGCTCTTAAGATTTCAATTTAATTACCTTTACTCCTCTCTAAGATTTTGATTTTTCTTCCCCTCTCGTTTTTACCAGTCTCCTTATCTTGTGGGATTTTGACCACACATTTACTCAGCCACATTTCTGGAAGTTAATACTCTATAAACAAAAACGAATTACCATAATCATCAACTGTAATCTCCTTTTGGTCTCAACTATCAAAACAGTTTCCATGAAGAGCTAATTGGACAGGCACTCCTTGGGTATTACACTTCGGTCGCTTGAAAACTCAGATAATGCAATATTTCCCACAATTATCTGGTTCAAAATCTGTTTATGAAAGTGTGAAAAGGAGCAAAGGGGAGAGTTGACTAACTTAACTTACAACATAGGGTAACCACCAGGTTATTTCCAAATCTACTACCAAGAACGCTTTCTATCTTGCGTTGGATCCTGACACTTCCATTGAGCCCCTTCCCCAACCATCACCTTTATAAACCAGTAATACCACTGCACACCCTTAGTTCCCTTAGGGCTGCCAAGACCAGAGGCACTGCCAGAACCTGCTGAGTGAGAAGGCACTGCTATCACCCAGTGATGTCTGTTCCCTGGAATTTCACTCTTAGTACTGACAATGCCTCTGGAACTCATAAAGAGTCTGCTGAAACCCAGGGAGCTGAAGGTCAATGTCTTCAGGGAATCAAGGTAACACCTAAGACAAACTGCTGCCAAGGAGTTCCGTGCACTCAAGGCAAATGCCCGGAGGAAGAACTCTCAGAAATAGCTCTCACAAAAAAAAAAGGAAGAAAAGGAGATAAACAAAGATTGAACCTTATAAACATGGCACTCACACCTACACAGGCACAGATCTTGGTGCACCCAATTGGAACTTACTTAGGATGCTTAGACAGGTATTTTGGGGAACACAATGTTTGGGCACAATCATTCATTTATTTAACAAAGATCTACCCAGCACCTACCGTGTGCCAAGCACTGCTCAACATGCTAGAGAATCAAGAGTGAATGATGCAGTCAAGACTCTTCCTTATGGATTCTATACTCTAAGGAGAGACAGGTATTCAGCAAGTACCAATTGAAATGAACAATTCAGATTGCAAATAAGATCAAGGAAGAGGAAAAAAAGGAAATAAAAAATTGTGATGGTTCTGAGAAGAACTGGGGGACTGCCTTTGCTCAAGTGGTCAAGGAAAGGCTTTTAAAGAAGGTGACACATAATCTAACACTAGAATGACAAAAAGGAGCTAAAGAAACCAATCACTTTTACTCTGATTTTCATCAAAAAGATGAGCTTACTAAAAAAAAAAAGAGTGCGATCCCATTTGTGGCTCCCCACACCCCATGCTTCACACACTGCAAAGACTCCAGCAAAGAAAAAGAACCTACAACTTGCTCTGCTCTTAGGGGGAATTTAAGAAACCACCTTTTCCCAAACACACTAGATTAACAAGAAGTTATCTTAATTCATCTCTATAGCAGAATTTACTACAAAGAATCTAGAAGAGGAGAAATGGAATGTTTATTCCTCTTGTAAAATCAGTTACTTTATAAAACAATATTCCAACATCAATGAAAGTATGCCTTAGCCTTGGAATGCCAACAGGAATTGCTTTGTAAGAAAATTAGTTCTGTGGCTATATTCAGTATCATTTACTTTTACTCACTGAAAAACAAAAGCAAATCACATTTACTAGCAGATGGTCCCACTTCCAACATACAATAAAACTTTCAAATTCCTTAAAAATAAGATTCTGACAGTACTTGTTTAACATTCATAAATAATAAGTGGTTGCTCACCAATGCCTTCCCCCATAATACCCCAAACAAATCACTCACTATTGGATCTCTGTTAGAGTCAATTAAAACACTAGTCAACTGGCATGAAAACTGCTAAAAGCATCCACTGCTCAAAATACTTTTCATCAAAACACCTTTTTCTTTAATGTTTCCTGGTCTCTGACTTGTTTCAGAATAAGAGAGGTAAGCAGAAGTGAATTAGGGAGCAGATCAGTCACTGTAAAAATTCAGAATGAATCATGGAATATTTTGACTAAAATGCAATTTTTATTACTTTGTAATCCAGTGCATGCTATATATTATTACAGTGTAAACAAGCATACTAAACTAAGACCAAATAATCTAAAGATATTGCCCAACAGGTCTACATTACCCAATGCATTTACCATTATAAAAACTGTTGTGCTTTGGTATTAATACACTGTCCAAGGAACGCTTAATTTTTTGAACTTCAAAACAAGTCTTTAAAACCGAATCTCATTAGCACCTAAGACCAATAATATGCTAAGAGGAAGACTTTGTTTCGAATTTATTTACTGATTAGGCATAGTGTTTGAATCTTCACAAATTCTAAATGTGCGTGGAGAGGGGAGGATGAAGAGTCTGAACTTGTTATTCAGGTGAACTCTTTTTCTTTTACTCACTTCACGAATTGTTATGCTTCTAGAATCGTCCTTTAAAATTTCCCATTCGGGGAAAACTACACATTTAACCTTTAATAAATAAAAAAAACTCACCCCACCCTCTCCCCTTAAAACAAATCAGAAGATTTAAGAATTAGCACTAACAATAATCCTACAATGGTTATGGGGAAATCCTCCTCCGAAATGACAACTGCAGCTCAGAAGGACGAAACCCACCAGGAATAAAAAAAATCTCCCTCAAATGAGTAGTTCTCCGAGGGGTGGCGGGGGGCGCACAGCTGGCACAACTGGTATCAGAACCAACTCGAGGCGACCCAGAAGATGCTGCGTCAAGAGAAGCAAAGCAAAGAAGCGCGACCCAGGAGGCTGGCGAAATCGCCACTGATTCCCTGAGGAGGCGGGGAGAAGCCAAGCCGCCAGGCACCGGCCACAGCGCACGCCAACATTCAGGATTATTCCCCTTTCCAAACCCCGGAGTTCCGGGGCAGGAGAAAAAAGGGGGATGGGGCACCCACAGTCCCTTTAAACAGCCTCCCCCGCCCCTCGGTGTCTGCCAACCTTTTCCGAACCCCTGTGTCACAGAACTTCCTCATCATGGAAACTTCCACTAGGTTCGGCGCTGAGGATGCCAAACTCCATTTCACAAGGAGCCTGTCAACAGCTGGGCTTAGGGTTTGAGGAATAGAGCGGCTGCGATTGGAAGGGGTCCCCAGCCACCCCGTTCTACCACTGCCCACGCTCTGGCTCCCCGACTGCCGCCGCGCGGTGCCGGAGCACGAGAGGGCACCTCCTCCCGGCCCCAGGGCGCAGAAACCCCGCGCAGGCAGGTAATGGGGCGGCTAACACCCCCACCCACCCACGCCCGCCCGCCTGCGCGCGCTCAGCTTCACCGCCCGCACCCCTTCAGGTTCCCGCGACACCCCCGTCACCATCCTGCCCACCCTTCTGGACAGTTGGAACTGTCGCCCCCTCCTCCCCGTCTCCCTCCCCCTCCCCCTCCCGCACCCCCGCCTCCGCGCGCTCCTCTCGCCAAATTACCAGTGCCCTCGAGCTGGCTGGGTTGAGCGCCCCTGCCCGGGGAAGGCAGCCTGCGGGCGCTTGCCCCGAGCCCGGGGAGCAGAAGGTCTCCTTTCCAAGCGCACTCACATTATTCATGCAAAGTTAATCCCCGCCGCGTCACGGCCGCCCGCCCGAGGATGTGCGCCTTCCTTGGCCAAGCCCCGCAGTCTCCACCCTCCTCCGCCCCCTCCTCCCGGCGGCGGGGTCCCGGGCAGCGCCGGCGACCGGACGTCGCGCGAGTCCTGCAAAATGTCAACTCCTTGGCGAAGAGAGGCGGCTGCAACCAGGGCCGCGTCGGCCCTCCCCGGCCACTCCACTTTTATAGGCGTAGGAAGCGAGTGTGGCCCGGACACCGGAGTCCCCGCCTCTCCGCGCCCCCCGCGCGCCCGGCCCACCCCGGCCCGCTCCCGGGCGCTGCCTTACTCCGGGCCCCGGGCGCCCGCTCCGCGCCGCGTCTGCGAACCGGTGACCTGGTTTCCCCTCCAGCCCTCCCGGCGGTCCGACTCGCGCGGCGGCGGCGGTGGCGGCGGCGGCAGCCAAGAGCAGGCAAACCCGGCTCCGCCAGGGGCGCAGCGAGGAAATGGCCTCCCGGCCGCACGCCCCGCCGCCGCCGCCGCCGCTGCCGACCGGGGCCGCCTGGCTGGCACCCGACGCCCCCCGCCCGGCTCGGGGCCAGCGCTGTGAAGTGTCCGCCAGTCCCGGCTCGCGGACCACTACCCGGCGGGCTGCACACACGCCGCCCGGGGCTGGCCGCCTCCGCACCTGCCGCCCCAGGTTTGGGTGCGCCCCCTCCCCCCAGTCCCGGCCGTGCCCTCCACCCAGGGGTCCCTCCCGAGGTGGCGAGGTTGCGGTGGTTTGCGTGGCCGCGAGTCCACCCACCCGGCTGCCTGCGCACCAAGCTTCGGGTTTGGGCGTCACTCCTCTAGGAGGCAAAGAGGAAGGAATGGGGAACGAGTGACAGAGGGGTGGAGGAGGGAGTGACTTCCAGAATCACGGGCTTTTCTTTGCCGGGCCAGACGAGCGCGACCCGAGCCTCCGCGCTCCTCCCTCTTTCTCCAAACCACTTGTGGCACGTGTCGGGCTGACACAGCGCTCTGGCTCCTCCTGGGGCCTCCCACCGGCCGGGCCGCCTGGCATTCGCTTACGATCACCACTCCCGGGAATGGAAGTTTGGAAAATACCTGGCTTGCCCTTGAAGCAGACACCCCTCCGCACCATTATGCATATCCTGGGAGATGTGCGCAGGGTTGAGACGCTCCACAGGTTCCAGAGGAGCCGCCCTATTAGTTTGTCTTTGCTCTGGATATGTACAAATGAAACCCAGAAGACGAAAATAATCTATACTCCTGAATAGTTCTGCCCCAGGCAAATATGAATTTCTAAAATGCCCCCTCCCCACCTATGTCTTGAAGTCCAAGGGTTCTGGGTGGGAGAAAATGAAGCAGGCAGCTGCGTTCTGGGCTAGAAGAATGCCTGTAAAAATAACTGCGTGCTCAAAAAGCTGAAATATAGATGCGAAGCTATAGTTGCAATAAAACTATTTTGACGACAGAGTGTAATTATTTTCTCATCGATGATATTAAAATAATTCCGACTTTCTCCTTCAATACACACATTTATTCGTATAAGAAACAATTAATAGACCTATGACGATTTGTAGCCTCAACTGTCTGAACAACGTATAGATGATTTATTGGAGAGTTTTCTAGATTTCCAGCCGGTGACGTATGTTTTATTACAGCTTCTTGTGAGCATCTCACGGAAAGGGGCGAGAAGCCACCACCCCTGCTGACAGCATTAACAACCACAACTGTCAAGAAGCCTAGAATTGTTCCCGGCGCCTGGATGCAGTGTTTCAGCGCGCTTCAAGAGGAAAAATCGCAGACCTCGCGGCCCCCTGGTGAGAGGGAAGGATCTCTTCCTTCAGACTCCACGGACCCTGTTTCCCCTGGGTCCTTGCCTCTAACTCCGTGCTTTATTCTTCCCTCGTAATGAGGCTGCACCATAGGACTTGCAGTTTTTGTAGCTGGAGAGAAGTTGTTCTCCTTTGCAGGGAAGTTCCCGGGCTTTGCTCCAAAGCTGCCCCGGGATGTTTTGGTTGGTTTGGAGGAAAGCTGGGGAGTCTGCACCATTTATTCCAAACAGGCGGCCCCCTGGTGGCTAACTGTGGGTGAAAAAGCTGGCCACGGAGGAAAAAGCCCGGCTCTGAAAGGCCACAACAGTTGACAGCCGGCTCTTCGCAGGGACCACGGAGCTGCGTGAACAATTTTGTAACAAAGAGAGAGGGTGCTGTCAATCTTCCTTCACAAAGGTGGATAAAGAGCCCTAAAGCTTGCTGGAACTTTTCCTTTTTTCTCTTCTTGAGTATAACTTGGAGCTAAATTCCTCCTTGAGAAGGAAACATCATACAGAGAATGAATTACGTACAACAAAAACTGTTGCTTCCCTTTGTTCAAATGGCTTTGTTTTTCTGCTCTCATTTTGCCTGGAAACTTGTGAAATAAAGAGTAAATTAAAGCATTAAATAAATAACGTGACATTATGCAAACAATTCATGAAACTGTGATTGTAATAATGTTATATGACAATGGGGGAGGGCAATTTTAATGCAACCTTATTGAAACAGCATGAACTACTAGGATTCCCTTTGAACCGACCCTCTGAAGGCAGTCTTACAGGCTGCATGGTGATAAAGAAGGGTTACCAACAGAAGATGGCATTTATTTTTCTGATTTTACACAAGAGGGGGCAATGGAAGAAAATTTTATGGGGACCTGATTGAAAGCAGAAAATAATATTCAAGCTATAGAGCATATGGTCCTGTGTTCCAATCTAGCAAATTTGAGAGGGCACATAGCAAAGCTGTTTTCATGACCCCTGCTCACATGCCATGCCAGCCATCCTCATTACCAGGATCTATAGATTACCAGCTGATGACTTGGTTCAAGGAAGCAATTCATTCATTTCATTCATATATCCATTCATTCATCAGCTGCTGGGGTAAGAAGATGAATAAAACATGGGATCCAACAGGGCTGAGATTACACTAAAGCCAATGAGATCAGTGGTGGAAGTACAGGGTCTGAGCCTGTCTTTATTTAAAAGTTTGATATATTTTCATCACGCATGATTGTTGCATTAATTTTGATGTAAGAAATATGGCATTAAAATATAATTTCTCTTGATTACTAAGTTTTTGGATGTCCTCTTAAATTTTGCACCCAAGCCTAGTGCCTCACTTGCCTCACCCTAGTCCTCACTGTGCTGTGCCCTGTATGTTACCAGAGTCTAACCAGCGAAGCAAAATTCAATTAGAATTTGCTCAGTGTCAAAGGTAATTAATATATGGGAAGGAACTTGAGGGCAAGGAGTTAGAGATGTGGGTGTGAGGAGAGGGGAAAAATCAGGGGAGATTTCCCTGAAATTTCACTGAGCGGGATGTCACTTGAACCCATCAAGGATGGGTCAAATTTTACTAGGGAGGGTTGGAACTAGAGCAAGTACCATTCCAGGGACTGGAACCATTGGTAGTCTTTCATTTATTCAACAGCTACTCCTCAAGCTAGCTGTACAGCCAAATGACCCAGCCCTGGAGACTCTGATTCTATCTGTTCATTGTTAGTTCCTGGAATTTATTTTGGCTATGAGGGCCCCAGTGCTTCTGGTCCATGGCCAGCCAGATAAGAATGCCAAGTCTGTCCCTGCCCTTCAGGAAAGATAGACTATTAAGGGAGATGACCTGTTCAAAATAAACTCTAATTTAAGAGTGAGGAGGCAATGAGAAATATATAAATATAAATTGCTAAATGATTGCTGATGAGGAGGCCACAATAGCCCAGGAAGAATGGGGGGATCAGGTAAGGCTTCCTGCAGAAGGTGGCTAGGTGAACCTTGTGGGAGAAGTTGGAGAGAGGGAAAGATGCAGCTGGCTATATTATTTGCAAGGCCTAGTGAAAAATGAAAACATGGGCCCTTTATTAAAAAAACGTGCCACTAAAGATACAAAATATAAAGCTATCTCCTTTCTTCCACATTCTCCCTTTGGAATTGTCATGGTATTTTTGATTTGCTATTTAATATCATTCTAAATAAAGAAAAACAAACATTTTAAATTATTAGCATTGATTTCACTGTTCATCCTCCTATCGTGCAATGCTAGTTTTAAATAAAAATACACAAGCATATAATTCTTGTGTAAAATCAACAAAATTACATGATTTGTATTTTGTAGCTAGTACGTGCATATGTACTTTGTAGTTCCTATATGCGTATGTGTTTTGTTCTTACCAGAACTGGGGAAACACTGCATAAAATGAATTCAACTGTTTTTATTTCACTTCTTGGCGGGGCCCATTCTACCAACACACTATCTTTGACATACTAATGAGTAAGGAAGAACTGAAAGAACAAGGAACTATGCATTGCCCTTTCTCTCTGTCATCATTTTCAGAGTAAATGTTTAGTTAACACCAGGAAGTAACACGAGTAAGAAAAGAGATGATAGGGTTCATTGGTTGTTGCCTTCTTTCTGCGTTTAAAGCAAGCTCTGGTTGGAATGGAGAGCGTGGCCTCTTGAGTTGTCAGTGCCCCACTTACTCAGTCATAGATGTAACATGCTTATTGTATACTCAATTTGAGTTGTGCTGACCTCCCAATGGCCTCATGGGGCCATGGGAATTCTGTGCTCATGGGGCATTAAGAATGCTATATGTGAGCGGAGCAGTGAAGAACAGCAGTGGCCATGTATATTGCGTGTACCTCCTCTGTTCATGCACGCTCCATTGTCCCATCAGACTTCACTTACAAAACACAAGTTCAAAGATAAAATTACTAGAAATTTCAAGATGACAAAAACAGAGCATTAAACTAAGTGCCAGGCCCCAAGCATGGGGCCCTGTGCAACTGCACAGATTGCACGCCCATGAAGCTGGCCCTGGGGAGAGAACTTGATCCTTTGTTGTGGTAGAAGCCTAGGGCATGTTGGTGGTACAGTAGATATTCTGGCATGGCTGGTTATAGCAAGGAGTGTGTAATATAGCTAACATTTATTAAACATGTATTGTGCTCCAGGTATTGTCCTAAATACATCACACATTTAAAAAGTTTGCCCAAGAATTCTGTGAAACAGTGTTATTATCCATTTTCCAGATGGGGAAGCTAAGACATAGGAAGATCAGATAATTTGCTCAAGCTAAGGCCCAGGCACTGGTGGCAGAGGCTATACTCTTACCCAACACATCATGTTACCTATTTGCAGGAGAGGGAGTCATGGGACAGGCCCATGGGGCTAGAAAATGTGACCATATTCTGGCATTCAGGAACATCCCCCTAACTCCTTCTCGAAGGAGCTGCTGTGCCCTGGGACGATAACAAGAAGCCTAAATAAAACATGCATGTCATCAGCTAGAAACCTAGAAAATTCCCTAATTACATTCTCTCCACTTGTTTTTCAACAGGAGGTAGAAGATTCTGAGGACCCTGGGCAGGAACTAATAAGCCACAAAGTGGAAGGAGCCTGGGTCCCTTAATCACCATATGGAGGAGAATGAGAACCCTCATGTTGAACTAGTACAATGAATGAATAATGGACTTCTGTTGTGTCAAGCCACTGAAATGCAAAAGGTTATTTGTTACATCAATTAGTGTTATCTCAACACACCCATCAGCCAAGCCAAACTCCACCAGAGCATAAGTCATCTTTTCTTTAAATAGACACAATTAAAACAATGAAATAGGTCTAGGTACATCAACATGGCTATAGCTGAAAAATAAAACATGTTAAAAAAAGTTCAGTGATAATTTTTAATTGAAGTATAATTAATATGCAGTAAAATAGACAAATCATAGGTGTTCAGTTTGATAACTTTGTACATTTTTTGTACCACTTTGTACCACTCAGAACAAGGTAGAAAATATATGAAGTAACCCAGAAAGTTTCTCTGTTGAGAACCACTCCCCATCTAGATGTAAACACTATTTTAACTTCTATCATCATTTATTAGCTATGCCAGTTCTTGAACTTCATATAAATGGAGTCACACAGTGTGTTCTTTCTTGTATCTGGATTCTTTCGCTCAATGTAATGTTTTTGAGATAAATCTACATTATTGTGAGGATTATAAAGTTGTTCTATTTTAAATTTCTATTTGATATTCGATCATATTAATGTACCACAATTTGTTTATTCATTCTCCAATTGATGGGCATTTGGGTTGTTTCCAGTTTGGGACTATTACAAATGAAGCAACAATGAAAACTCTTGAACAATTCTTTTTGTGGATACATGCACTCATATCTCTTGGGCATATGCTTAGGAGTGAAACTGTTGGTCATATATTGTCTGTTAATCATTCTATTAAACTCTCTGAGGGAGTAGCACAATTATAATCAACTAGAAGATGGGCAATTAGCACTTGCTCACTTCTGCTCATTCTTACATTAATGACAAATAAATATTCAAACAAAGTCATGTGGAGTCTAACTTGAGTGAATAAATATTATCCAGTATCACAAGTATGAAAATCCTCAAAACAATCAATATTCAAAACTACTATTGCCTTATGTAGCAATTACAAGCCCTGCTGGCAGCCACAAGTCATTTCCTATGAGCTAAGCCACATACTAAAAGCCTATGAAAAAATGAAGATGCTGATGAATTAAAATGCATGGAGAAAAAGATGAATGGGAGAAAAGAAGGTAAGAATACCAAAACACTTCTAAATTAAAGCTTAATTTTCAGTCATCTGAAAGATAGCCTTAGCTGAGTGATTGCTAATTGAACTGTAACAACCTACGTTCATCATGGGCACACAAAAGTGTAGTACCTTGTTAAATTCTTTGTCAATCACAGACAAAATCTAGTGGTTCAAGACACATCTTTCCAAAACGTGTCAGTTATGTTCTTCTTTTTTTGAGTTATATTTACGTGCATCAAAAGTGGAAATGTAATTTTTTAAAATTCTGTGAAAATACCCTTCCTGTTTAGGAAGAGAATAAAGTGAATTTTACTCTTTTTCATCTAGATACAGTAACACATATAATATGATGCTTATGATTATGAGCTATTTTCAGATCCTTAAAATCCCTGAATGAGTCATATCTGGAGTGACAGTCATAACTTTGAATTTACTTGCGTTTGTCAGTTTAAATGAGATTCTTAATTTGAGGGCAATATAGGTCTTACTGGCACTTTCTATTTTCATTTTATAGCTCTCTTTTACAATAAACTTGCTTCATCCCAGCTTTACTAAGTCTTGTGTAAAATACTGGTCATGTAACTCCTACAGACACAACTGCAGAACGTATTTTGAACATCTATAAATGATACATTTGGGACAAACAATCAAATCTAGAACTGGCAGAGAAAACAAGAAAGCCCTGAGTTCCCATTTACGCAGATTTAGAGCAAAATCTTCCACTGTGGTTCACTCCAGATAGTGGGCAGCTAAAGGATTTGGGCTCCAGGTTGGTGTCTTTTCTAATCATTTTGGGCATGTTACTTAGCTTCTCTATGTCTCAGTTTCCTCATCTGTAAAAACGGAGAAAAGAATCACACCCACTTGACAGGGATGGTGTGAGGAATAACTGTGATATTAGATGGATAATGTTGTGTACAGGGTTTGGCACAGAGCAGGTGGTCAATGAACATGATCTGTTATTTTGGAAAAAAATGAATGTATACTATTTGAAAACTTAGAAAAATGGCAAAGGCTACAATCTTTTTTTGAAAGATATTTTTTTCTAAATTAGTTAACTCAACAAATATTTGTAACAGTATTTACAAACTGCATTCTCCTGGGCTGGCACTATTATAGGCTGTGCAGACACAAAGTGAGCAAGACAATCAAAATCCTTCCCTGGTGGGGCTTACATGTCATTGAACAGGAATTCTCTGAAAGAGGAGGGACACTCCTATCTTGACAAAGACAGAGCACAAACCCAGATACATGGCTGAATGCAGACTTGCGGAAATAATATCTTCTGATGACAGACTCCTTTGCTGATATACGAGTTCTAGCCTTTAATGATGTTTTTTTGGAGGAACTGACTCAGTTCTTAGAAAAATCTTCTCATAAATCTTTTTCCTGTGGCATCCCCTAGCTGCTACTAAACTCTTAAGTTAGAATGCCTTTCTCTAATATCCAGTTTCTACAATGCCTGGAATTATTTTCCAATACAGGTAAGAGTAAAGACATCCAGAAATTTCTAAATGCTGGATTTGGCGCTGATCTGATCTATCTGAGTCATGCTCATAAATTACTTGTATTCCCTTGGCTTACTCATTTCTTCCCTAGTCCTCTCATTCATGTGAATAAATGCAAGGGATTGAACTAATTCCTAAAATCCCTCCCAGCTCTTACACTGTAAAAGTGTACGCAATTTTATCCCCATTTAATGACCAGAGAAAGTCTTTTATTTTATGGAGATCTCTTTATTCTTTCTCAACAATATTTTGTTCATTTATTAAGCTAAAGAACCTGGGAAATTGAATTTTTAAAAGCAGGATCCAGTTTTATTCTCCACTTTATGGGGTAAAAATGAAATGGGCTCAAGTTCCATCCATGATGGCAGCTTCTTTAGGGAAGGCAGAAAAGCAACTTCTTTGTTTTTCTGATCATTTTAATACCATTTTCCATTAGATATATAAGTCAAATGACAGGAAGCTTTTATTTGCTTGTTTGGATAAAGTAAAGATTGAATTTGCCATCACTTTTGGATTTAATTCATTAATGGCAAGAGAATCTAGAAATTCAGGTCATCAAATTTTCTTTTCTGGTATTTCTTTCTATGACTCCTACCCATTCCTGCACTCATTCATGACGTTAAAAAAATGATGATGATGAACAAAATCAGAGAAGAACTAAAGAAATGGAGAGATATTCCATGCTCAGGGATAGGAAGGCTCAATATTGTTAAGATGTAATTTCTTCTCAACTTGATGTGTAGATTCAATGTAATCCCAATCGATATCTCAACAGTTATTTTGTGGATACCGACAAACTGATTATAAAGTTTGTATAGAGAGGCAAAAGACCTAGAATAGCCAACAGAATATTGAAGGAGCAGAACAAAGTTGGAGAACTGACACTATCTGACACCAAGATTTACTATAAAGCTACAGTAATCAAGACAGCATGATATTGGCAAAAGGACTGATAAATAGATCAGTTGAGCAGAGTAGAGAGCCCAGAAATAGGTCTCCATAAATATAGTCAACTGAGCTTTCACAAAGGAGCAAAGGCAATAGAATGAAGCAAAGATGGTCTCTTCAATAAATGGTGCTGGAACAACTGGACTTCCACATGCAAAGAAATGAACCTAGACACAGACCTTACACCCTTCATGAAAACTAACTCGAGATAGATCATAGACCTAAATGTAGAATGCAAAACTATAAAACTCCTAGAAGACAACATAGGAGAAAATCTAGACAACCTTGGGTATGGCCATAACTTTTTAGATATAAAACCAAAGGCACAATCCATGGAAGAAAGAATTGGTATGCCGGACTTCATTAAAATTAAAAACTTCCACTCTGCCAAAGACAATGTAAGAGAATGAGAAGACAAACGACAGACTGGGAGAAAATATTTGCAAAAGACATATCTGATAAAAGACTTATTCAAAATAGACAAAGAACTCTTAAAAGTCAACAATAGGAAGATAAACAACCCAATTGAAAAATGAGCCAAAGACCTTAACAGACACCTTGCAGATGACAAATAAGTATATGAAAAGATGCTCCACATCTTATGTCATCAGGGAAATGCAAATTAAAACAACAATGAGATACCACTACACATCTATTAGACTGGTCAAAACCCAGAACATTGACAATATCAAGTGCTGACAAGGATGTGGAGTAAAGGGAAATCCCATTCATTGCTGGTGGGAATGCGAAATGGTATAGCCACTTTAGAAGACAGTTTGGCGTTTTCTTACAAAAGTAAACATACTCTTACCATATGATCCAGCAATTGTGCTCCTTGGAATTTACCTAAAGATGTTGAAAACTTATGTCCACACAAAAATCTGCACACAATTGTTTATAGCTGCTTTATTCATAATTGTCAGAACTTGGAATCCACCAAAATGTCCTTCAGTGGGTGGAAGGATAAACAAACTCTGGTACATCCAGACAATGGAATATTATTCAGCACTAAAAAGAAATGAACTGTCAAGAAAAAAGACATGAGAAACCTTACATGCATATTACTAAGTGAAAGAAGCCCATCTGAAAAGGCTATATACTGTATAATTCCAACTGTATGACATTCTGGAAAAGGCAAAATGATGGAGACAGTAAAAAGATCAGTGGTTGTCAGGGGTTGGTGGTGGTGGGAGGGATGAATAGGTGGAGCACAAAGGATTTTTAGGCAGTAAAACGACTCTGTGTGATACTATACTGATAGATACATGTCATTATACATTTGTCCAAACCCATAGAATGTACAACATCAAGAGCGAACCATAATATAAACTAGGGACTTGGGGTAATTATGATGTGTCGGTGTAGGTTTATTGATTGTAACAAATGCGCCACTCAGGTGGGGGATGTTGATTATGGGGGAGGCTATGCATTTCTGGGAGGCAGGAGGTATATCGGAAATGTCTGTACATTTTCCTTAATTTTACTGTGAACCTAAAACTGCTTTAGAAAAATAGTCTTAATAAACAAATAATAATAATAATGATGATGATGATGAAGTGTGGTCCCTCATATGAGGACATTGGAGTTTTCTAAAGGAGATGATAGTCATTTCCTCTAGGTTAATATTTTTAACCCCCTTTATCTCTGAGCATGAAAAAATTGTTATTGATTCAAACTGTTGGATTGACTGACATAAAATTGTTCTGTCAGGAAGTGTCTCATTCCTATCATGTGGATACTCACTTCCTGGTTCTTCCTCCAGGCTTCAACGTAGTCTTTGAAAGAAAGCTTTGTAGCTACTGAGGTTAGAGGAAACACCATAGAAATGACGTTGAGTTACTCACATTATTGCCCTTAGACCCATTAGTTAACTTCCCTGATCCCCAGTTTTTTCACCCACAAAATAGAGAAAATCCTCATTGCCAAGGGGATTAACTAAAATCCCACTTTAAAAGTGTTGAACCAAGTGCCTGATCATGGGTGCTCAGTAAAGTTTAGTTTTCCTTTTCTTTTCACAAATGATCTTCCTTCTGAGTGAAGCCATACATGTTTCATGATTGATGGTAACAATCAAATGCACATGAGTGGTAGGCAGAGGCCTGAGACCAAATGTCCTAAAGAGAGGCAATGGTGGGCAGCTCATGGGCTTGGCCTCCATGCCTGCCCCCCACCACCTACTGTGTACTTTGTCACAGCTTGGACAACCAGTTTGCCTTTCAGAAAACAGACCATATGAAGAAGGAACGAAATGGTTCTGAGTGTTGGCTTCTCCAAGCCTCAGTTTTCTCATCTATAGCATGGGCATAATAGTTTCTGCCTTTCCTGCATCGTGAAAATAGCTTGTGAGGATCTAATGAGATAAAGCATGTGAAAAGCGTCTCCCAAGTGTAGAACATTCTAAAAAACCATAATGCATTGTTGCCTAAATCTTTCCATGGCTTCCTCCCTCACTTCAGCCAGGTCTCTGTTAGTCAGAGAGGTCTTTCCTGACCATTCCATCTCATAGAGCAACTTCCTACCACTCTCTAGCTCACTGGTTCTCAAAGTGTGGTCCTCCCCCCAGCAGCAGGGGCATCTCCTGAGAATTTGTTAGAAATGGAAATTCTCAGTCCTCATTTGAGACCTACTGAATTGGAGACTCTCGGGAATAGGACCAAGAAATCCGGATTTTAACAAGTCATCCAGGTGATTCTGATGCAAGCTGAAGTTTAAGAACACTGCTGTAGCCCTTTGCTCTGTTTTGCTTCCCAGTTGCTATTACCATCCCAACATTATATTAGCTATTTCTTTTCAGATTTATTGTCCATCTCCTCTAGTAGACCCCAGCTCTCATAGAGAGACTAGGTAAAAAATGTGTCCCCAGCACTCAGAACAGTACCTGACACAAAGCAGGCTCTTAAAAAAGATTTTGAGATGAATGAAGAATTTGCCATTTCAGGATTGGCACAACTCATCAAAAACAGAATACAATACGGAGCACAAAGCGTCAATGCATCATCTAAATTCCCATTCCAACTGACATGAACAGGTTGACAATGACCTAGAAGGGACTCGGGGCAGGAATTGTGTCTCTCATTTTACCTATTTTTACCAAGTTAGATTCACTAAAGGTCTTACAGTTTGTAAATGCTACATCTTGGACCAGAACCCGGATCTCACAGTTCTTGTCTAGTCCCCTTACCATTATGTTCAGAGTAGGATGATCATGCCAAGACTGTGATGCCAAGAGGTCACAAAAGTTTGGGGAGTTTAGGGGTTGGTTAAAATTTTTGTAGCAGGTTTGTTTTCTTTTACTGTGTAAGCAGTAACCTTTAATGTGGTAGTTTGTTTCGCAAATCTCTGATGTAGAAAATGCTTTAGGATGCAATGATTCCCAAACTTTCGATCAGTAAGTCCCATTTTATACTTTGGACAATCTTAGGGGACCAGTGAGATTGACAAACACTGCCAAACTCACAGTTTATGGCCATCTGACATGCCGCTTTGACCAATGACATAGAAATACGCTATCTGTGACTCGATTGTATCAGTTAGCTTTTGCTGCCTAACAAACCACCCCCAAATTAATTCCTTAAAACAGAAATTGTTTATTATTTTTCATGATTCTGTGGGTTATTTTGGCAGTTCCTTCATCCGGGGTTGGATAATCTATGTCATCTCACTCATATGCTTGGTGGTTGGCAGCCTGGTCAGCCTGGGGGCCCTCAGCTGTAGAGGATCAGCTTTGCTCCTTGTGATCTTTCACCTTCCAGCAGGCTAGCCTGGGCTTCTTCACATGGTTGTCTCGGGGCCCAAAGGCTAGCAGGAGAGCAAGTGCCAATGCACAAGCACTATTCAAGTCTCTGCTTACCTCACGTCTGCTAAAGTTCTGTTGACCAAAGTGAGTTTCAGGTTCAATTCTGATTGGAGGAAAGGAAAAATAGGCTCCACCTGTTGAGGGGAGGGGGGAATCAGTCATGTCAGGTTGCCAGGAAATGATTGAGGCAAATGGCTGATGTTTAGAGGCACAAGCCAAGCATCTGGCTAAGAGAAGTTTTAGATGAGAACAATGATAGGTCCCTTTCATTCTCCTTTTGTAAGTGAGCAACATCCTCAAAGGGGCCTTACCTTTCCCTGGTCCATTGCTCAGCTTGAAGGACACATCATCATATTGGGAACTTTTCTGCATCAAGACTAGCCAAAGTTTTTCCACAGTGCTTCAGAGATTGATACCAAAAGCCAAGAGCAAAGGCCACTGTGTATGTGGAGTTGTGAACCGCTCTTGATTGCTCTTGGCATAACTATGTCACATACTGACAGGTTGGAGCTCACCCTCATTTTATGCCACATACGCAGGGAATAACAGACAATGGCTAAACAATACAACATATCTGCACACGGTAGGATGGTGGCAGGGTGTATGCACCTCATCACAGGAAATGGAAGGAAGCAGACTTCCATAATCTCAGTACTCTTGATAGTCAATACACTTAGAGTGGGTAACTCTTATCTCACTGGTAAACATTCATCGAGGGCAAACAGGGATCAGGCGCTAGGCTCTTAAAAGATCGTGATGGACAAAGTAAAATGATCCCTCCCTTTGTGGAACTTTGAGTCAAGTGGGGTAGAATGACATTTAAAAATATAACCAGATAGATAAATAGATAGGTAGGTGGATAGATGGATAGAGATACAATGAACTCATAAAAGGCTTATGTGTTCTTTGATGAGTTTTTATTCCCTTTTCATAGACTTTTTAGGAATTATGTTGCAATGTTATTCACTTGGTCTGTTTGCAGTCCATGAATTGTTTATTTTCGTGTCAAAAGCAATAAGTAAATCTTCTGTGAATATATTTCCCTTCAATGATTCTTTGAGCTATTAAAATGTTTTTTAAATAGTGATTCCTGCCAGCCCCATGATTTTGTACCTATTGCCATTTTGTATTATTTTTTCCCAAGAGAAACCGTCACCATAAGTTTTTTGAAATATACATTTATTTTCCTTCAAACCAAAAGAAATGGTGTTTGAGGGAAAAATCTTCATTCAGAACTCTGTAATTGTTCTTCACCACGCCATTTTGGCTAATTGGAGGAGGACTGCTTACTCTCATTTAAGTTCTGAAATAAGTAAGGGAAGAGGAGCAGAATGTTCACATTACCATGTGTGTGCACGTGCTTTCACCTGTGTGTATATGTTTGCCTTTGTGTGTGTATATGTGAGTGTAAGTTCCATGAGGGTTTGTTTGTTTGTCTGTTTTGTTCCCCGAACCATCCCAAGCACCTAGAATAGTCCCAAACACATAAAAGATGCTTAATAAATATTTGATGATTATATAGTTTCAAAGTCCTGCTCTGATTTTTTCAAAAATAAATAACAGCTATTATTTAATGAGCATCTATTATGAGCCAGACACCTTCTAAGCTCCCACTTACTATACACAACAACCCTCTCAGAGTGATAGTAGTATTATTCCCATTTTACAGATGAGGAAATTGAGACTTGTAAGAAATTAAGCAAATTACCAAAGATAATTTGCTCAAGCTCTAAGTTGTAAGAAAGGGTTTTAGGATATATGGCAGTGGTCAGTGGGAAGAATTGTTAAGCAAAGACTATTATAGGTGTTGTAGGGAAAAAAAAAAATGTATGTAATATATATAACAGAGAAAGAAACCAGAGGCAAGTCAAGGAGTAAAGCAATGGGTAAGACAATTAAATGGAAAGAGAATATACCAGTATGTATCCTGAATAAAAGAGAACTAACACTCATACCATTGTGAAATATATAAAACCCTTTAGCCTGAAGCCTCATCAAGGTTTCCCAGTTTTTTCTTTTGTCATATTGTTGGATTTGAACAAAAAATAGTTTAGAAGAGCATCTGCTTTAAATTATCACCCTGTTTTAAAGGCTGGGCTCTATAAGCAGAATAAAAAGCCGGAGCTGCACGGTATATACTTTCTCAAGTTAAAGACTACGTTTAACCATCAGCTCATGCACTATTAGAAAGAGAAGGACAAATTTCATGGATTGTGGTGATGCCATATCCTGATATACAGCATATTAAAATCAGGAATAACAAATAAGATGATTTGTAGGAACTAATGAACCCAGTCATGATTCACTGTGATGGAGTGGTTCCTGAACTTGTATTTCTTAATGAGATGTGAAACACAAAGGAACAAATGTTTGTTTTCTTCTTACACCCAAGGTGGAGTTCCTCTTTTAGGGTTGCTACATTCTCACCTTTGAATACGATCATGACCCAATATATAAATTCAGACTATCTCAATCGTTTTCATTTGCACTTATATTTAAAATAAGATTCTAGGATAGGGTTTCTCAATCTCAGCACAGTTGACATCTGGGCTGGATAAATCTTTGTTGTGTTTGCCTTGTAGGAAGTTGAGCAGCATTCCTGGCCTCTACCCACTAGATGCCAGCAGCACATGTATCCACTTCATCCTGCCCTCCCCCTCCCCAGGTTGTGACAATCAAAAGCGTCTCCAGACTTTGCCAAATGTCCCCTAGGGGGCAAACTCATCCCCAGTTGAGAACCACTGTTCTGCTTTCCATTGTCAGAAAATTTGAACTTTGCTGCTGAAATGATTTTCTAGATTAAGAAACTGCTTACTGGTATATTTCAGCACCTTATAGAGAATAGACAAAAATGTGGAGCTTATTAATAACATATATTATTTAATCCATTTCTACCCTAAAACAATTTAATTGAATTAAAAATTTAATGTTTTTCTCAAAATATAGGAAAAGAAAAAAATTCTGCAAGCATGAGATTTCAAGTAATATACTTCTCACAAACTGCCCAATAGACAGAAATGAATGTACCAAGAAATAAGATAATTTTTACAAATGTTGCTGAAGAAAAAAAAGCACATTCACTAATTATGAATTCCCTACAATTCTTCTGTTTGACAGTAAGTCCCCCAAAATGTAGCAAAGGTAATTAATAACCTAGGAAATACACAGCACACTCAGAATGTATCTAAATATCTTGTAATATTGCCTTGTTCCCTTTTTAAATGTCTCTGAATACAGAGCCAGTGCGTTTAAGTTTGTAATTCTATACTTTCTCTTACCTTACCCACATGATACTCTATTACCCGGTGGAAACGTTGCAATGTAAAACAATTCATCTTTTCAGAATATATCAGTAGTTAAATAACCTAATCAGGTTGAAAGGACTCTAAAAAGAAGGCTCATTTTCCAAGATTGTGGATGAGAAAAAGTAAGGCATACTTACTGCTACTGCTGTTATCACGAACTCATGGGAGCAATAAGGACCAGGTTTACCCAATAGAGGTTAGCTGTCCAATGAGGGTAAATCACCAGGGAGTTGTTAATGTGCTTATCTGACCCATGACTAGTTAGCAAAATGTTTACCTCAGAAATAAAAGCCTAAGTCAGTCGAATTTACAGGTCATTAGGAATGATAAATGAAAAACCTGCCTGACCCCAATCTAGCCTTGACTGAAGCCACTCATTGACTATGGGAGATAAGTGCAAATCAGACAGTCTATCAAATAAAACTGATGTATTGTTAAGAGGGTCCTCACTAATATGGTGCCACCCAGGGAAACAAGATGTGGAACCTAGTAATGAAGTAAGATGAGAATTATTTACTTAAGTTTCCTCTGGACTCCTTTCTATGTAAAACATTTTTCCCATCTGTCATTAGGAGTTATCCCCTTGGCAATAGCAAATGAGAGATTAGGGATGTAGGGTATGTATACACATACATATAGAAGACAGTTGGCTTAACATTGAGCTTGCAACCATATTTAATTGAACATCAAATATATTCAGGCAGAATACATAGCACTATGCCATTTCACCTTCTATTCATTCGTAGAAACCTTTTCGTAAGTCACTATTCAATAAAATGAACACAGTTTCCCATGAAGTGTGAATGATGACTGAATAGATGCTTGAGTCTTATTGTGGTAACATATGACAGCTCTGGAAGCCAAAGATTGGAAAATTTCATCCCTCTGGAATATACATTTAAGAGGAAACACCCTCTGGGACCCTAAAGCCAGATCCCACAAATCATCACTTAAGTTCTCCATTGGTCTGCTCACCTCTGCTGTGTTTATATTCTTTATCAGGTGTGGTAATCTGGTTTCACATACCTTTGTAGAGTCGAAAGAGCAATCTAAGAATAGGTTGAAGGAAAAATACATATGTGAAGGGGTAAAACTTGGGTGAGAAGCAAGCAGAGTGTTGTTGATGTTGTCATCAGCAACTAGAATTTATTTGCTGTCATCCTGGCAACAAAACAAAACTCTAAGGCAGTCGCCTGCCTATGTTGGATATTATGCCACAGCACCATGCCATGTGGTCATAACGACCAGCGAATGGCAGAGTTCTGGATTGCATGGGGCCTCAAAGTCTACCCTGGCCCTCCTTCCAGCCTTCCAAACTCTTTCTCTATTATTCCTGTCAAGTGGTCTTCTTGTTTGTGTTTGAATACCCATAGGGAATAGTAATGTGTTGTATTCTGGATCAGCTTGCAATCTATGTTTTCACACAAATCTAGAAAGAGTAAGACAAAGCTAAGGATAGAATCTGCTGGCATACTACAAGAAGCATCTACTCAGGATGATACCCTTCCACTAGTCAACTCAGCACACATTGATATTGCCTGGTATTCCTGGCTGGTTCAATATGTATGCCTGCACCACCTCTCCAGTTTACCAATCTATCAATCACCATAACGAAGGAAACCTGGTGAGCCTGAGATACCTATTCTCAGGGAACTGAAGCTGACTTGTAAGTTTCACCACTCTCTCTTTTTGGGATCTATGACTGCCTCTTTAGAAATACATTCTAGACATGCTCAGGATGATTTTAAGTTCATAAATCAAAGGCCACCCTTTCTTATCCCTTCTGAAATCAAGATGACCTGCTTGATGACTTCAGTTAAGAAGAAAAGTTAAATTGCATTTGAGTCCCTGCACACAGAGACTAGAATCAAAATGATACATCAAGAAAAGCTTTCATCAAAAATGGGTTGAAATACGAAAGTGTCCCACCTGAGGTCAGCTTCACTCATATGGAAAATTCACTTACCTGAGATTCCTCACCACCTAATCATGCCAGTTATAGGAAGTAATTTTGTAAATTAGTAGTTTTCAAAATGTGGTCCCCTGTTAGAAATGTAGAATCTTGGCCTCCATCAGAGACCTCCTTATTAAATTGGAGTTTCTAGGGGGTGGGACCCAGCAGTCTGTTTGCAACAAACCCTCCAGTTGATGCTGGTACACAGTGAAGTTTGAGAACTGCTGTTGTGGAAACTAAGGTAGAATTGGGATAAAAATGCTCACCATTCCGGTACTCCTAACTTAATGATAACGGTGATGATGATGATGTTGATAATGATGATAATTTTAATAGATAATCTTTTGAGAACACTTAATGTGCACTATTCAAGATCACAAATCTAGTTAAATCGGAACAGATTCCCAGTTGAATATGCTTTTCTCTATATCCCTGCAGCCTTCAACTATGTGCCATAACAATACTGATGCTACTGCTGCCACTAGCTGCGATTACTGAGAGCTCCCTATGTTCTGGATTTGTGCTAATCATTTTACATGAATTCTCTCATTTACTCCTTTACCACATCCTATAAGTTCAGTACTAGTCTTCTTTCCATTTTTTTCTGATAGGGAACCCGAGGGCTAGAGAGGGTTAAGTACTTGCCCCAAATCATGCAACTTCCAAGTAGCATATCAGAGGTTAGAAGCCATGTAGCCTGACTTGTAGTGGCTTGTAGTTACTGGCCTGCATGTGTACTTTTTTCTTCTGACTCTAAAAGCTTCTATCTATCTATCTATCTATCTATCTATCTATCTACCTACCTATCTATCTATCTATCTATCTTTCTATCTGTCTATCTATCTACCTACCCACCTATCATCTATCTAGCTGTTTGGAGATCCAAGAGTATATAAGATGGAGTCATTCTGGATGTCTCTTTTCTTTTCATTAATCTCAGTGATGGCAGTTCTTCTCTATAGCTGCTTAGCAAAGAAAGGAAAAGGTGTCTTACCGTTTACTCCACCTTCTTATCTCTTACAAGCTCAGTTGTCCTACCCTTCAGGTCTTCCTTCCCAGTCACTTCTCCCATCACCTCAGGAGCTCCGGCTTAGAAATCACTGTGACTTAGAGGTTGTGAGTCCCTGACTACTGAGGTGGAGGGATAAGAAGGCTGTTGACTTCCATCCCTTGAAGCACTCAAATGTTAAAGAAAAAAAGTGTTTAAGAACAACTATTACAGAGCCATACCTTAGATAAATGAATTGCTTTTGGTGCTTTCTTGAAAACTCAGCATGTAAGAGGTTGTTTCCAGTAGAAACTTTTGCATTCCAATCAACTTAACATCTGAAATGCAACCCAAGAGTAAATTTGAAACAGTCTTTGTTATGTTTCAATCTGATTATAGAAGTTTCATTTCTCTATAGCACCTTTAAACAAGTGTTTGTTTCAGAATAAAATTTTTCTTGGAATAAGCCAGTACATTCTCCTCATTCTACGGACACACATATTTGATAAGCAAAAATAATATGAGAAAAGCCCAGATTTATAAAAACAACTAAATTAGAACATGATTTTTTTAAATTTAAATTTGAGTTAGACTGTTAAGTATTATTAAAATAGTATTCCATTTACACAAAAGCAAATTTTTACACAATTTTTCAGAATCTGCCTGTTATATACAGTGAGATGAATTGCATATACTTTTGCTAGGATCACCGTGGATCTAGACAGTAAACAAATACTTTAGAAATTGTTGCTATGTGAATCATGAGTAATATGATTGCACAGATCTGTAATATCCCCAAAGGAAAATTCTCCAGAATTTTATTATTTCTAAAAACAAACTCAGTCTGTTTATTGGTATTCTCCATAAAGAATATTACCTGTGCGTTCAGGTACACACACACACACACACACAATTTGATTCCAAATATCTTCTATTAGGCTCCAAAACCCTCAAGGTAAGAGCCTTGCCTTATTTATGCTTGAATTTCTCTTATTACGATAACATGGTGGTTTTGGGGGTGTTTTTTTGCCTTAATAAATGTTTGCTGAGCTGAATACCACAACTTAGCTACATGTATCTGGAATTTCTGTTGTGAACTTTATTTAATGGGGAATGGAAAAGATTTCTGTTTTTTGTGGGACTATAATTTTCAATCTCCTGATTTTTGTGATTTTAAAGAGCTGGCCATAATGCTATATGGTTCCCCGATTTTGTTTCTTTGGTACAAAAAAAGCAAAATGAATGAATTATGATTGAGCCACGGAGCCCAGTTGCTTGCATATGTAATAGGGGTTCTAAATTACCGCATAAACACAGCTGCAGTTTTTCAGTCTGAAGGCTTCGTTCTAGAAGCATGTTGACTGGGGGAGGTGGGGGGGACTTGGAGCTCTAAATTCAAGAGCATTATTATGATCTGCGATAGACAATCATCCTGCCTTATTTAAATCTCCGGGCAACTGTAAAACTAGAGTACGTTTTGCTTAAATATTCAGGTTTCTTATCTATGCCCAAATCTGAATAAGCAAGTTTAGCTCACATCTTAAAAGCTGACAAATCGCACTTTATCATATGTCATTGGCTGCTGCATTTATGAAGTTACCAGAAGGTTAATAGTTTTAAAATATTTTATGTTTAAATTATCTCATTGTGAAAGTTATTTCAAAGGACGTGCAAATTAACAGAAATCATGCTTTTTTGCAGGTCAAATAGCTCCTCACATGAAAATAGATGAAAATATTTACATCTTCATCTATTTCCATATACAGACACATAGCACATACATTCATACTAAAAGCTTTGTGCCTGAATTTTAGGTTGAGAAGCAATGAGGAAAGGTAAATTTTCTAAAATATATTTTCTTGCTAATTTTCAAATCACCCTTATTTGAGGAGAAAAGATACTTCTGAAGAACAGGCAGCCTTTTTTGCTATATTTGTTATTTAAATTAATTTAACAAGAAATATGTTTCATGATTTAGGGGCCAGCCCGGTGGCACAGCAGTTAAATTTGCACGCTCCGCTTCAGCAGCCCAGGGTTTGCTGGTTTGGATCCCGGGCACAGACCTACACACAGCTTATTAAGCCATGCTGTAGTGGCATCTCATGTACAGAATAGAGGAAGATGGGTACAGAGGTTAGCTCAGGGCCAATTTTCCTCAACAAAAAGAGGAGGATTGGCAGTGGATGTTAGCTGAGGGCTAGTCTTCCTCAAAAGCAAGAACAACAAAAAAGAAATATGTTTCATGATTTAAACAGTACTTTCACAAAATTTATATTTTCAACATCTTCTTTTTAATAATCCTTAATGTCTTTAACAGAATTAACTACAAATTTATGGAAAACAGGTAGAATCCTGTTCCATGCCAACAGTTCTCTGAACTCTTCAATTGCAGTAAATAAAATCAGGAAAGTTTTTCATATTAAGTGACCTGAGAAATATCACTGTACTCTAATACTAATAACATGAATTCAATAGAAAATTGGAATTATCATTTGGACATTTTTTTCTGTGGCTAGCTAGATTTACGAAGAGTCTAGAGACAAAAGTCAGGACTGAATAACCTGCATTTTAAATTATCTACTTTGTGATGTAACCTTGGCAAATTGTAAATTCAAGATCTTTTCCTGTGGGTATCCAATAATTTGTGAGTTATCTTCTTCTACCATTCACTTCAGGAAGTTCAGCCTAAACATTGGAGTTAACGCAAACAACACTGAACAATAAACAGTGTTACAACAAACAGACAAGCCAAACCGGAATAGGTGACTTGTCCTTTCACCTCAATTGTCTAAAATGGAATAGATTTGAGTGGTCATCATAATGTCAGATAATTCCTGATTGTCCTACTCGCCATTAAACATATTTGTAATTAAGAATCATTTTTAATTGAAGAAGTCTTTGTTTTTCATGTTTCCTTAAAAAAGCAATACTTTTTTCTAACATTTTTCAGACCACTTGGTTAATTCAAAGAACCATAAAAAGTCTATGTTTTCCCACTGTCCTGATATTTTATTTTCCACAAAACAAATTCATCAAATACATAAAGAGCCAGCAAAATGTCACGTATGACTGATTCCAGTTATATATATATATATATATTTATTTATTTATTTAATTTATTTTACAGATTGGCACCTGAGCTAACAACTGTTGCCAATCTTCGTCTGGTTTTTTTTTCTTC